GCCTCTGCAGTGTTGCCCGGGGAGGGTACCCCGTGCCCCGCTGCTTCCTGGGCCTGGGAGGTACCCTCACCACCCGACTCTACCCTCCAAACCCAGCTGCCTTGATGGAAGATCCTCCCGGTTTGAGGATCCCCGCGCATGAGGATCTCGAGATTAGCTTCCAAGTCTGGGGAGGAGGCCGGTGCAGCATACTCTTGGTCGAGTAGATGGTCATTCCATTTTAGACCGGCCAGAGGAGTGAAGAAGGGAGGAAACTCGATGAAAACAAACTTTTCCTTCCATCCCCGGTTACTCTGGGGGACTTCGGAAATGAACTTCCTACCGGTACGGGCTTTGAAGAATACAAAGCCTTCGCAGCCAGCCCCACCCGGTAGGACTTCGAAGCAAAAAAGGAAGAGACGCAAAGAACGGAAAATTTTCAGATGAGTACAAATATTTATGAAGGAATGAAGGTACCGGTGGGCGTTAGGAGTTATTTGACCGGGCAAAATCCTAAACGCATGGCAGACTTCAGTAAGGAGAGGGCGAGGAGGAAAAACTATGCCCGCGTCCAGGGAAATGGTATGAAACCCTATCCTATCCTCCCGGTGGGGTTCAACGATATTGGGCCAGTTGGGTTCGTAGAGGAGGGTATACCCATCCGGGAGCCTCCTACGGATTTTATTTAAAGCGATTTTGGATACACGGGAAGGTATGTCAAGGACATAGAAAGTGGGAAGCGGAAAGTAATCGGCAGCGTGAAGCCGCTCCTCCCACCCGTCCCGGGTTTCGTGTTCGGGGTCATAGGGGCCCGGTTCGTCATCGACCGGGTCATCCCTCCCCACGAAAGTTTCACCGGGCACCTGATTTACAGGATGCGGGTCGGGAATGGAGGAGTTGGGAACCTGACCAGGCGAAGAGTCAAGAGAAGAAGACCCGGTCGAGGAAGAGGAGTTGGAATTCTCAGAGGAGCAGTCCTCTGAGGAAGAGACCCTATCGCTAAGAGGAGACATGACCGGGAAAAGTATAGAAGGAAAGGGGAACTTACTTGACTCGGAGGGCTGGATAGCGAAGAGAAGGAACTTGACCGGTGAAAGCTCTGAGACTTGATCGCGGAAAGTGAACAA